ATGAGTTAATCTATAATGTATGTCAAAGTTAGCCATTTGCTTCATTATTTTAGTTCAGTATCTTAAGTGTATATTTTTCTGTATGGAGAAGATTGATATTAGTAATTCACAGTCTGCTCAATTAGTTTGTGTGGGAATAAGCTGCAGGTACATAGCAGTTCTTAACTTTTTAACTGGTGAGGTCATTCGTGTTTTGTTCTCCTAGTTGAAAGCCTTGTAAGTTTCCTTCATACATTCTTTAGCCTGTTTCATTGGGTTATTAGACATATTATAGGTGGTGCCTCTGTGCTTTGCAGTTGTCAGTGTTTCTAGTTCTTGCCAACAAGATGCAGAGGAGTTGGTCAGAGTATGCAAGAGTATCTTCTGAAACTCCCAGATGTCACTTCCTTATTGAAGTTTTGGTGTGCTGGCAAAATTGCTTGATCTGCCTTTAGCAAGATCAAAGGGCACGCTCAAAATAACATTGCAACGGTAACAATTTAATACTTCATTCTACCTCAAATGTCTGTGCATGTGTCACTAATTTTTCTCAGAGAAAGGGTACTTTGGGCACTTTTTGACACTCGGTAGAATAACTTCACTGTTTAATTTTTACGTGTCATATTTCAAAAAGACTTTTTTAATGAAAGTGTTTATTGAGTAAAGTTAAAATTTTAAGTATGATGTATAAACCATTAAATTTTACGCCTTTTTACTTTACAGCTTTTGTGGTATGTTTTGGAAGTGTGTTAAAAGCATAGTATAGAACAGTACTGTACACGAAAATTTCTAAGCATTTATGGTATTTGGAAAGTGAGGCTTATACAAATCTGTTGGAACAGATTTTTCAAACACAACTCTTAGCTTTTCAACAGTATATAAATTCTGTTTAGAAAGTGTGTGAAAATATCCAAATAAGGCAAGAGGCTTGGGGTCAGAGTAATCACGGTAAAGGCTGGTTTCTTTTGGTGTGTTCTCTCAGTTAAATAGCCGTCCTTGTCATATAGATGTGTAGGTGGAAGAATTCTGGTGAATAATAGCAATATGCCTATCTTGCTGGACTGCCTTTGGCATTCTCAAATAAACATTTTCTCTGGCATCATTGTGAAATGCAAGTTAGTAACATGCTGCAAAACCTCTCTAGACTGAGTGTATAACAGCCAACCACTGAGTAGGCAAATGTTTAAAAACACGCAAAGAGAGTTAATTGATTACATCAGGATTTTTATACTTATGGGAAATAAGGTAAAAAAACCTAACTTTAGAGAGTTAATTGATTACATCAGGATTTTTATACTTATGGGAAATAAGGTAAAAAAACCTAACTTTTTTATGTTCTTCCAGTATTGGAGGGGGGAAAAGAGAAAGTGATGGGTCAAAATCAATCAGATCTTTTGGATTGACAAACCCCAGTAGAAGTGTAGCTAGTATTCAGAACAGCATGCATCTTCCTCACAGTAGTTTCAAGGGTTGATTTGCAAATACCAGTTTATGTACTTGCTTCTGAGCAGACCTCCAAAAGACTGCTGTTTGTGCTGGTATTTTGCAAACAGGACTGTTTATTGGAAGGCTTCAAGGAAGTTCTCTCCTACCAGTTTGCTTCATAAATTTGGAATTGATGCTTCTGTGAATTAAGCTGTTTCAGGAAGTTTATTCACAAATGGAGAGTACCTGTCTTAATCCTAATGTAGCTGGAGGAGGAAGTGGCTGATTCCACTGTCACTGTAGTCTTTCACTGTTGGACTTTGCTTTTGTCCTGTGCTATAGCTAGTAATTTGAACATGGCACTCCGCAGTTTTAAAAGGGAGTTCATAAAGTGCTGGGAGCAGAGGGGTGAGAATTGGGGAGCATGACCCCTAGAATCACAAGTAGTTTTGATTGGGTTTTGCTACATTTCTGTGTGGATGAGAATCAATTAGTGGGACAAAGCACTGAGACACCAGAAAAAGTAATGTGGAGAAAACAATGACTCGTGCTTCAGTACAAACTGGATGGATGTGGGGACATGATTACAGTGTACAATCAAATACTAACTGCAGCAGCTAGTTTGCCTTAGCTCACTGGTATCTCAGGTTCCCCCTTTCTTACATCTCTGGGTAGAAGGGCTTAGAGAGCCCTATGTTCAGCATGGTGTGGAGTCACAGACCCACAGTACAGCCCCTGGAGTCTGTTTGAAGTGGGTGTAGGGAAGCAGATAGGCCAAACATGTCTTCAGATTTCAGCTGTGACCCATGGGAAAGTTGCAGAGGTTCATTCTGTGAGAGTTTTTGTGGTTTGAAAAGCTTAGCTACTTTCCTGCTCTCAGCAGTTGAGCAAATACTATTTTCAGATACTTTAAAGTAGGAAGCTTGGTGTGAGAGGAGGATCTTTGATTTCAATAGCTGAGAGAGCAGAAGTCTCTGGTTGAACCTGCACTCTCCTTCATGGCTGTCTTCAGAAACTTAACCTTTCCTACTTCTGACTTGAGAACAGATTTCAAAGGAACCTGTGAACAGTTTTCTACTATACAGGTCAAGGAATTTTTCAAGAATTCTTTGATCAGTGATTGAATCTTAGAACAGGAACAAAAGTATTAAGTTGGTGGCAGTTCCATCTCCTGTGAACCAGAGGATGCCAAGGCTCGTGTTCTGTTGGAGTGCAGCAAATGGTTTCTGCCTAGAAGTATTTTTCCTGACAAAGCTTCAGTTACTATTATTATGCTTTGGAGGACTAAAATAGGAAAGGGCTAGGAAAAGAACCTTATCCATTTCCTTGACAGTTATGAGGGAGAAATACTTAAAAATGGAAATGTATGATTATAGAAGTTGGTTAAGGCACTAAGATCAGCAATTGACTAGAAATTTATTTAAAGTACTCAAAATAATTAATTTTAAATTGGTATCTACCGTTTAGTCCATTCTTGCAAAATTTTTTGTTGAAAATTTAATAGATTTTTGTAAATCTCATCAAAGAAATGTATATTCTAAATGAAGGAATAAGTCTGCAGTTAGTGCATTTTTTGAAATTGCCTTAGTCTTATCTTGAGTGTAGATTTTCTTAGCAGTAATACTAGAAGTATTTTTTAGGTTCAGTGTTTGTCTTTCAAAGTTTTCTTTGTATACTTTTCAAAGGTATGCCCAGTGAGTAGGATTTCAGGGTGTGGAAGTTTTGAATCAGATTGCACAGCCATACAGTTTTCTTGTTCATAAAGCACACAGTTTCTTGTTCTTATCTAGTCAGTGATTTGGAGATCCCAGAAGTGATATCTTTTAATTTGCACACTTGCTGATATAAGTTTTAAAGCAGGTTTGTCATGAAGTTTTACAAAACTCCTTTTAGCTACAGAACCCTATATATAAATGCATTTGTGAAAGTTCCTTGCAGTTTTATATGATTTAGAGTTATATCCAGATTTATGGACGCAAAAATTGTTTGCTTTTCAGGTTCCTGGCAAAATTTCTGTATGCACTGGTTGTGAATTACTTATGTAGCAATTGCAATTTTGCTGTAGTGCAGGCTTGACCACAGTGATTCCTGTTTTATACTGCCTGCTCCTGCCTGGCCTGTGGTACTGTCTTCAGTTGGGGCATACCCTAGAAGGTTGTTTGGAAGCTTTTATCAAGGTGTCAGTGTAAAATTAAACTTGATGTTATTTAGTGGGAAACATGCAAATGCAGTCAAGACTGATGCTTCATTGTTTTTATATTGACAGACATAGGAGAACAGAAGTCTTAGGGAACTGAGGAGCTTTGCTATGATGGAGATAGAGGGGAGTTGTAGAGCTGCTTTATTGGGCATGTCACCTTAAAACAGCAGCTGTATGTCTGTCAGAAAATGTTAGTTTGAGATAGTGATTTTCAGAGCTAGACTGGAGTTATGAATGTCAACTAATGCTGTCAACAAAAGTATCTCTAAAACTGTTTGATCAAGAGGGTCTAGCATGAGTTAAGTCCAGAAAGGTAAAAGGGGAATCCTCTGACTGCTTTATTTAAAATTCAGAGTTACGGTCCTAACTTAATCTGAGTCTGGTGCATTTTTCTGAATGGGTGATAATTTGATTCACAGCATAGAGAAATATAAAACTGTTTTTGCTTTTGTTATGTGCCTTGTTTAGCCTTTTCAGACATATGCCAAGAGACTAAATAGATTCACTTTTAACACATGGAAAAAATATGCACTAAGTTGCAGTGGACATGTTGCGCTTCTTTGGAGAATAAATGTGTGTATGCAGATTTTGTTTTTCATGTATTCTTCCTCTATAAGAAGCATAGACTTCCTGTTTTACTTTGTATTTAGCTGTTATTATTACTGTTTCTCTTTTTATTTACACATTCATGAGAGGAAATGTCAGGTTTGCATATCAGAGAATTTTTAAATACACATTTTTGTAACCATCTAGTTACAGTGTGCTTTTTAGAAAGAATTACTTTCATATATTCATGAAGAAATAGATTAAAGATTTCATGTTTTAGGTTTTTTTTTGAAGAACAAAAAATATGGTATGTAGCTTATTCAAAAATGTATTTCAGTAAAGTGAGTTGAAAAATGGTACTAGGTCCACTGTAGAATTTTTTATTTAGATAGAGTCTGTTAATGTAAAACCATGCACCCTAGATATTTTATGATCTACCAATAAAAGAATAATAAGGGCACAACAAGAAAAACACATATTTATCAGACTTTGTGACACAGTTTGGAAAATAAAAGTGTATGTCAGATCAAACATTAGCATAAATGCTGTTGGTCATAAACTACTTTAACGTGAGAAGAAATGTCACTGGGAAGAATATACTTAGTGAAAATCTGGTGGTGGGTAATTTGATTTTTTGTTTGTTTGGGTTTTTTTCAGTTTCTTTTCTTTTTTTTGATAAATAGTCCATGTTTTCCTTGAAATCTGTGGAAAATGAGTATGACCAATTTGAACTGTCCTTATCCCAAAGTAGACTTTATTTTTTTTTAAATACAGGAATATTTTACTTTTCAAAATGTATTTACAGTACTGTATATAGCTTGCTAACATGTATGTGGAATGTCACTTACAGGTGCTGACCTTAAAGAAAGAGCAAAAATGCACTCAAGTGAAGTTAGTTCTTTCGTCTCAAAAGCAAGAGCAACTGTTAATGAAATGGGTATGTAACCTCCCCCTTGAACAATGTTGTTTTAACTGTAACCTGAGAAGGGTTAGATTAGAGGGATGACATAAATGTGTATGGTTAATTCTTGAAAGGTAGTAGGACATCCACAACTATTTATATTGATAAATACAAATCACAGTGCATTACTTCTTTTAAAATGTTTCCAATCAAGTTGGACTTTTTTTTTAGAATGCTAGGAGAAGCTGAATCTTAACTGAAATTGAGGTGATTTGCGCTGTTGTTTTCATAAAGGATGGATTGTTGAGTGACATCCAAGTACCTTAGAATTAATTTTTTACTATAAAGGATTGTGGTCAGTATAATTAATACAGCCTTTAATACATTTTAGAAACATGTTAAACATCAGCTGTTGATAGTAGGTTAGCTTACTAAGGCCTTCCAAAATTTTGTTTAATATGCACTTGTTCTGGTGTAGTAAAACCTGTTAATAGTTTGGGATTTTAATTGCATCGAACCAGCTTTTAAGCATAGTAATTTTTCTGTAAATTTTTTTATTATGAATTCACCATCAAATCATATGTTTCTACTTCTTTGCTAATCAGTTTTAATGTAATTGTTTTTCGTACCTATATGTTTTATGAAAAAGAGAAGCGTACCAAGTTTGAAGCAACTAATTTTACACATTTGATTTATATACACAACATATTTTGTCACTTGAAATTTTGTCACAGAACTAATTTCTGAGAGAATGTGTTTAGGTGCATTACCTTAATAACAGTGAGTCAGATCTTGGTTTGGCAGAATGTCATGAATGGAAACCAGGATGTTTTTGCAGGTAAATGACAAACTACTGAAAAATGAGCCATTGATTAGGTAGTTCATGGAGGTACTTGTGTCATTGAATTAATGTCTTGTCTTTGAAATGAAGCAGATCTTCCAGGCTCTTTAAATAAATAAAATAAGTAAAAATCTATAAGCAAATAAATCATTATTTCCTGCAGCTGATACTGTATTTCATCCTGGCATTTGTCCTTTCATTGGAATGCTGAGAGGCAAGTTGTTCCATTTAGTTACTTAGTAAGATTTTTGGGAGGCTTCCTTAGCTCAAGTAATATTTTATTAGCCTTTCTTGGACTGAAGTTACTGGAAACACTTTCTGAGCTGCTATAATGTTTAAATACAGGCAACTGGTTTAAAGATTTTCCTATGATTGGGAAATAGTTTTTTTTTTAAAAAAATAGATTATTTTAAATTTTTTAAGTGAGAAAATTCCTAAAGTCTAAAGAAGTGTTTGAATTCAGCTTTCTGCACTGAATGACTGGAAAATGTACACAGTGACTTGATACTTTGTTTTGCTTCAGAGTTGAAAAGACTTTAAGACAAATGTTTGAGTGTCTTCAGCTTCATTAAGGTTCCTGTGAGAATGTTTAATTACTGAATACGTAAGCAAATTTTCAATGTTATCTAAAAGGTTTACAGTGAATCATTATGCTAACAGTGAATTACTTGAAGTTTAGGAAACCTGTATGAGTGCTTTCATTCATTGATCTCTAGTCTCTTTCTCAAAGAAGAAGCATGAAATTGTAAGTGGAATTAATGTTTGAGAATGAAGGTCATTGTAAAGTACCTAGATAGGAGGGTTTGTGAGAAAAGGTAGTAACGACAATTAGACACACTGCAGGCTGGAAAAGAGAACAAATTTGAACATAGCCCTTACCCAATATTGTTACAAAACTTTTGCTGAGTGTGTCTCTCCCCTACCCCTTCTTCCCCTCTTTCTCCCACTTCTCCCTCCCCCCTTTCCTCACTCCTTACTTCCTCCCCCCCCTTCCCCCCATTTTGTCATTTCTGCTTTAAAACACTAAACTACATAGTCACTAGAAGATTCTTTAATGGTTACATGATATCTGGCCTTCTCCCAGTTAATTTATTGAAAGGTTTTTTTACAGGATTAGAGAATAATATTGAGATATGACTCCTAATGTTATTGGTCGGTTTTCATATCATGAATGTTTGGACATTCATACTACATGAAGTAGCTTTTATTTTTCAATCACATGATGTATTCCCACAACATATACATTATGCCAACAGTAGATGTATTTATAGGATGAATCTGACATTATTCTGAAGGGTCTTTGCAGAGCAATTTAAAATGTGGTTCACTACATCAGGAAATGGTAGAGAATATAAAAAAAGTGGATTTTATAAAGGAGATTAGATGGGTGCACAAAACATAATGTTGTGTGATGAATAGAAGTGAACATGAATTTTGTAGCAGGTCAGAGGTTTTCAGTTCTTTTTTTCTTCTGAAGAAGTGATCTGGCATTACAGAACATAACTTTTGTAGAACTAGTGGGACACTGTGTTTGATTACTGCAATGAATCTGTATATTGAAAATAATAATCTTTTTCCTGCCTAGCAGCAACCAGAATGTTGTGAGATGGTTAAAGAGGCGATACAATTTTCAAATTGTTATTTGCCACTGCAGAATGCTGTATAGCCAGGGAACAATATTTCCAATCTCCCACTTTGTTATTTTTCTATCCAGTTTTAATACTGTAATCTCATTTAAAATGTGTTCTACTTTTTGCTTTTCAGAAATAGGTCGTGTTTTGGTAATTGTGTTTGTGTTCAGATGTGTGACCTAGTAAGGAGAGGCTTCTTTTTAACAATATTTTCAGAAAGAAAACCACTAAGTTATCTTTCTAAACAAAATACACAAAAGGTTAATTACATCTTGAACAGCTGGGCGAACTTAGCTTTTTAGAATTGATATGCTTTGGCTTTCTTTAGTTCCTGTCAATTGCATTACATTTAAAATCCTTACGCTAGTGGTTTTATAAAAAGCTGTAGTATCATTTTGGAATACAGCTACAGAAGAGAATTTTCTGGAAATTAAAAGCATACTGCTCTTGTTTTTATGGCATGGGTTTATAACTTCTTGCTAAATTTGGGTGAAGTATTAAGACTGCAGTAAATATCACTTGGTATAAAAATAAGCACTTAAAAAAAGAGCTGAAAAAATTGTACTGAGTCTTTAGTTGCAGTGCTTAGAGCTTTAAACTGAGGGGAGAAAAAAATCAAAACTGCCTCTATTTTTAGCAGTAATTGCTTTTGCTAAAATTATACCAGAATTGTGGGTGTTTGTTTGGGGCTTGCTTTATTTATTTATCAATCTTTCAATCTATCTATCTATTTATAATAGTAAGAATTGTAAGATTACTTGTCCATTACTATATTCTGCCTTGAGGCTCTTTGTTACTTATGGAAGGCTGGCTTTATCATCAAAATATAGAAGAGAAGAGCACTAATAGATGTGTTGCAACTATGCACAACAAAACAGGCCTGACTAAATGAAATCAAATGTTACTGACTCACAGAAGCTGTGTTTTTGATGCTTTGGGGAGAAAAATATTCAACATACATTTTATGGTTTGACTCCCATTAAGTTCATGTTCATTATACTGTCTGTGGGGTCTGGGCTGTGATGTTACCATTGTATATATGTTATCTGTTGGGATTTCAGTTGCAAAACAAACTGAGGCTGTGTATGGACCTGAATGCAATAAACGCTCTCGTCCAGAAAAGTATCTTGTTTAAGAGAAAGAAAAGGTGAAGCTGCAGAAAGAATTAGAACTTGGCAAATACTTGTAATTACTCAGAGTGATGTTTGGTCCCAACCTCTAATAAGTGCGAAACAGCATTGGTTAGCAAAGCTTTTCCAAGGAACAGAGTCATAAGTACCTCAATCCTACAAATAGTGAAAAAAAATTGGGGACTGACTTTCTTGGTTAATTTTTAAAATCCTCTTTAGCAATTTTCTGTCATTCTGGCTTCACTGAGTCATCACCAAATTTTTAATTTACTTGAAAGAGTGCTGTAATTAATCTTCTCCAAAAAGTTGCTTTTTTGACTTACAAAGATCATGCATCCTTGGAAATTCTTAGGTTGTACCATATTATATGCTGCAGCTTGGTTTTGGATGCAAGATGTCAAAACTTCATCTCAGAAGTCCCCAAAGTGGAATTGCTATTATACAAGTTTCACTTAATTTTTGGTCTGCTAACTGCTACCCCACCTTCCCATTGTAAACTCTAAAAAATAGGCAAGAATGATCATTGATGAGGTCAGTGCAGCGCCTTATTTTACTGAGTTTCTGGGGCTTCTGTGTAGCTTTGTTTGATGTTAAAAGTCCTGGTTTAGTAATGAACACTTCAGAGTTGATTCTGTTAACTATTCCAGTTGAACAACAGCTTCTCAGCTATTCTGAGAAGTGACTGCCTATGTAACCATTGACAGAATCCATCTGTGTTTGCTGGAGGTAAATCTGAACAGCAAAGAGTACTCTAGTTTGGAAATCCAGTGAGAACTGTGGATTTTTCTCTTAGTTTAGAGCAGATGTAGGCTATAACTTGAAAAAGGATTCACTGGGAAGCTGAATGAAATATTACAGGTAGCTATCAAATTTGAAAAAGGGCAACTTTACAGCTAGCAGTGTCATGCTTATCAGTCATCCTTGGCATCATGGTCTCCTTGTGCTGCTGACACTGTGAAAGGGAAACATTGGCCCAGTATTTCTCTTGCTCTGTTACATTGTTTGTTGCCTGTTTGGTTAAGTGTAGAGCACAGCTAATACAGTCCAAGACTGCTAGCATTCTGAACGTGTTCCTGAGCTCTTCGTTGTTTTCCAGTAGTAGATTTACTGCTTCTCTTAACATTGAATTAATTTAAGATACCCTTTCACTAAGTATTGTCTGTTTCCTAAATAGACAGTACTGTCCTTGCAGAGCTAAAATGATCGTTTTTGTCAAATTGCATTGGATTGTTTTTAATTAAAAAACACAATGCTAAACTCTGTACCATTATAGAGGCAATGAATGCAACATTAAATTTATCTCCAAGATATTTATTAGTTATTTACATGACAGCATTACTTCCACACTTACTAATATACTCTTTCGCTCATAATAGTAACTTTTTAAAACCGCTATAAAAAAAAGGATGCAGAAACAGGCAAACCTGAATGCTA